GGGGGGGGTGGTTAGTACTTTGTTCCTTCAAGGATAGTCGGGACTATCTCGACAACATGGACGCCATTCACCCATATGGGGCCTCTAGCGCTGGTATCTCAATACGCCCTACTCGTTGCTTTTTCACCTGTGCGGATCCTACGTTATCTTAGTTCGACACCTACTCGATAATCTTGGTTCTCATCTCCTGTGTTTCACTCTGCATGGCTCCCTCATTGTAATCTCATTGGGTATCCACATTGGCTACTACTCTTTGGTTGCTCCATTCTCTTTATGGTTGTTGTATTTTTCTTCTAGTTGACGGCATGGCTTCACGCTCACCGCACCCTTTAGGATAATGAATCCAAACCTGTCCAGGAGATCTTTCTAAGGAATAGAGCACCGAATGATGAGAGAGAGAGAGAGATAGAAAGAGCAATAGCACAATCACAATAATGAACAATAAATTTATGTAACATTTATTCATGATATGGACCCTCTATTTATAGGAATGAGTTTTAGTAAAATTACATATTGTACCCCTAAAAAACGTGGGTACGATAATGGAATTTCAGTTTGTATATAAATTAGGCCAGTGGGGCCTACAAATGTGGCTGAGCAGCTAGGAGACCAGCAGCCGTTAGATCGGACAGTTATATGAGTCGACAGCTGTTAGGTCAAGCAGCTCTATGGTCCTAGCAGCCCTCAAGTCGGGCGGTCATTGGTCAGAGCACCTACTTGCTGAAGCTCCATATCAACCATCTTGAAACTAAGGAATCCACTTCACTTTCTCGATATATCCAAGTTTAAAAGCACAGAGTTTGTCTAAACAAACTTATTTAGATGAATTCTTCTAGAGTGATCTACCTGTCATCCATCAGAGGCGCGTTGTCTTCACAATATTTGGACCCGCTGGCTGAACATATAGTCGTGTTTTCCTTGGTAGGTCCTCTAGAGCCACATCACCTTTGATTCATGCAGACATGTTTGTGAAGTACAACCAATGCTAAAACATGCTTCTTTTTCCATTTTTATTTATTTTAATTTAAGCACATTCAATCACAAACATTGATCAACACAATATCTTAATAAAAAAATAAAATAAAAAAACTGCTCTCTCCGCCTATGATTACGTGGGATGCTTCTATAAAAACCTTCCATACAATGCAATTCCAAATGCTGAGAACTCATTTAGAAGTTGGCTGTAAACACAGAAGTATTGAATTTAATATCACATCAAATATATAAAAAAAATAAAAGTGTAGAAATATTAAATAAGATCCTACGTTTAACCATTTGATTTGAACATAGATTTATCCAAGATAATATAATGGCCAAAAAGCCTAATTATAATCCCTCTTCCATCCATAATCTTCACCGAAAGAATGTCAACGATTCAAGGGCGTTGTCACCTCCCAAAAGAGCCCTTAAAGGTGGTGGGCAGCCCAGGACTTAAATATTGCTTTTTGGCCCTACACCTAGCCAATGTGGGACTATTTGTCCGTGACATTCTCCTCCACCCAATCACGTGACGCCCTCGTCACGGATCGGCTCCACCGAGGGTCCCACTGGACCATGGAGAGTCCACACACCTGGCAGACAGTAATCTGCTCTGATACCACTTGTCACCTCCCAAATGAGCCCTTGTGGGTGGTGGGCAGCCCAGGACTTAAATACTGCTTTTCGGCCCTACACCTAGCCAATGTGGGACTATTTGTCCGTGACATTCTCCTCCACCCAATCACGTGCCGCCCTCGTCACGGATCGGCTCCACCGAGGGTCCCACTGGACCATGGAGAGTCTACACACCTGACAGGCAGTAATCTGCTCTGATACCACTTGTCACCTCCCAAAAGAGCCATTAAGGGTGGTGGGCAGCCCAGGACTTAAATACTGTTTTTCGGCCCTACACCTAGCCGATGTGAGACTATTTGTCCGTGACAGCCTGCTCACATTATACTTCTTGTATAAAGTTATTCGCAGGAAACAAAGTTCTGCAGCTCAAGAGTCAGAAATTTGTTCTACCAATTTAGCACAAAACCTTTTCACTAAAAATGATATATCTTGCACTTACAATGTTTACAAATCATACAATGAATGGAAGGAAGAAGAGAAGAATCCACTTCTTCCGTTTTTTCTCAATACAAGCAATTATATGCCCAAGACAACAAATTAAATAACATATTTCATAAACAAAAAACACAAAAATATGCTGATATATATATAATCAACAAAAAAATAGGCAACTTAACTTAAATTTGCTAAGGCAGCCAATGAATTAGCATGGACAGGCGAAAGAGAACCAAGTATAGGTTGCATTTGATGGCCGTATGCTGAAATTAAGTGGGACAAAGCTATTCCAATTTGAGATTTGACATCGTCCCTCTCAAATGGGGACATTGCAACTTGAGCAAAAACGTTAACCACCTCTGGAACTAAAGGAAGGATCTGCTTCATTAGAAGAAAGTTTTGAGCTTTGAAAGTGGCATAAAGATCTTAAATTCCTGAAATTACAAAAAAGGACACTTGGTACCACCTGCGGGTTTGACGACAAAATCAAATTGCATATGCAACTGTATACTGCCATTGATTCCTCGCGGTCTTCCTTCAATGGCAATGCTTTAAGAAATACAGGTAGAACCTGGAAACAGAATTTGCATTAAGAAAAGCAGAGAAAACTTGATCCATAGAGCATAAAAATTGTGCAACTGTAAAACAAGGGAAATTTACATATTTGCATATCGTACACATTAACTTTCATATTTACATACATAAGACTTTAGTGTTTTAAACCTATGCATCAAAAAGTGTACTTCAGTTTTAAAAAGTTATAATAATGCTATTTTTGATGTGATATTAAACATTTGAGTGCCGTGTGTAAAAATGAGATTTTAGGTCTGAGAAATGTAAATACATAACAATTGTGTGCTATGTATGTAAATGCCCAAAATAAAATGTTAACCTGGTCAAGAGGAATAGACTGAGGCTGTGCCATTATCATCCTTGCGATAGCGCCGGCAGCATTATCTCTGACAGCATCGTCTGGTTCTGATGCACCAAATAAAGGGTATAGACCACGAAGAATATCACTGTAGTATCTGGGTTGGTATTAAGTAAACACAACAGTGATACTACATAGTGATGCAAAAGACCATAATCACACAAAGCTAATGAAAAAAGCATGAATGATAAAATAGCACTGAGTAATTAAACCGTTAGAAATATACACATCAAGAAAAGATTGAAATATAATGAGAGGATACTTTAGTGCGGAAATGCCACCACTTTTGCATATTTCACCAACACAAAATGCAGCATTTCTCCTATTAGTTGCTTCTGAGGATGAGAGTTCCTTCAGCGCCAAAGGCATCACCCTCTAAGAAATCACCAAGTTTATAGAAAAGTCATGAAAAATCCATAAATTGGTTAAAGGAAAAGCACAAAAATTATTCAAATGTAAGAGATATTAGAACAAAATCTTACATCAATATAACTGGAAAAAGGAGCCCCCATTTCTTGAGCAACTTCAGCGAGACAAGCAACCACCATGGTCCGATCTTGAGGAGGCCGCGGAACTTTCTGGAGTGGTGTTTCACATTATTGAGTATCAATAAAATTGGTTTACAAAAAATCACAAGATAGCAAGAAAATAAAATTTTGCTACTTCTTAAACGTTTCCAATGGCAGCTACTACTTGAGATGGAGGGTAATTATGGAAATAATCTTACCGCATATCTCATTAAAGGATCAAAAAACTCGGCAAAAACTGGTTCAAAATTAGAGCCCATAGCTTTAGCAAAAGCAGGAAGAAGATCTGACACAGCATCCATGAGCACTTCATCATGATTAACTTCGCCATCCTCATTATCAGAATCAGAGCCTACTTGTTGACAGCATGAATCTTCACGAAGTAATATAAGAGTTGCTTCTGCAAGTCTAGGCATATCTGAAACAATTTGCTTCTCAATATTATTCACATTGGGTTAAAATGTCAGTGAAGCACAGGTTTGGTTGTCTTACAAGAATTTATGGCCATATAACTATAGTCCTTCATGATTTCAGCCACACTCATGCACGCTTGAGCAACAACTTCTTTGTCATCATCTTCTGTCATCGTTTTGATGTAGGTATTCAACACAGTATCTGGAATCAACATTAAAAAAGACAAGATCATTTTTATTGACAAACGGGATTTTGGTGGGAAAATTAAAAAGAAACTTTCAGAAGAGGCCAATAGAATACTACCAAAAATTTCCTTCTTTTTATCTGCAACATCCTATGATAAAAAACAAAATTGTCATATAATTATTGCAATGGGGTTCTCTAGGAACATATTAAACGTAAAAGATGAGAAGAATAAGTGAAATTGTGAATAATGGCATTGAAACAGATCTGGAATTGCTGATTACACCCATAAAATTTTTACAAAAGGTAAGGAAAACTAGTCGACATGCACTTACAATGTGTTCAGCTGGAATTGCCTGCACTGCTGCCAAAACATCTGCAACAAAATCCAGTTTTCTAAATAAGAACTAATTTAAAAAAAAGACCATATTGTGCATTCAGACGTTAATTGAAGTAATATTCTGTTAGTCAGAAAACATGAAAATTTTAAATTCAGAGAAGTTCAATGCTCATGTGTCGAGAGAACAAGTTATTGCATAGTGAAAAAAAAGTGGAAAAATATTAGAGGACTTATTCTTAATGATACAAAGAAGGGTATAAATACTCATTATAGGACTTATTGGTAAGAAAATAAATAAAAACAGAATACAGTAGGTAAGGAAAAGAAATAATAACAAATATAATGGACAACTAATCTCTCTAATTAAGGAGACAAAATAATTAGAGATTCCTAAAATCCCTCATATAATTTATAACCCTCTAAATATAGAGTTATAATAAATATAGAATATAATCATCATTATTTGCGTCATTATTTGCGAGAAATCATCATTATTTGCGAGACCTTTCAACACTCCACCTCAAGTTGGCATGAAGATGTCACTCATGACAAACTTGCTAACTAGATTCTCGTGTTGCACTTTGGAAAGACCTTTTGTTAGAATATCTTTTGTTTGGCTAGCAGTGGGTATGTAGGACATACATATCACACCACTCTAACCACTATCTATCTTCTCCTTGATGAAATGTTTGTCAACTTCTACATGTTTTGTTCTGTCATGTAGAACTGGATTATGAACTATATAGATTGCAGTCTTGTTGTCACAGTAAACTTTAATAGATGTTGGTATAGGAATCTTCAATTCTTCCTAAAATTTTTTTATCCATAATACTTCACAGAGACCATGGGCCACCGAGCGGAATTCTGCTTCAGCACTACTTCTTGCTACCACATTTTGTTTTTTTACTTTTCCAAGTAACCAGATCTTCGCCTACAAAGGTACAATAATCTGATGTGTATCTTCTATCATTTACGTCTCCTGCCCAATCTGCATCTATGTAGGCCTCTATTAGAAGATGTTCTCCCTTTTTGAACTAAAGTCCTTTTCCAGGAGTTCTTTTGAGATATCTCAAAATTCGGAATACAGCTTCGAAGTGAGTAGGTCCAGGTGAATGCATGAATTGACTCACAACACTTACTGCAAAGGCTATGTCAGGTCGAGTGTGAGCCAAATAGATTAGTCGCCCTACCAATCTTTGATAGCGTTCTTTGTTCATTACCTCATTAGTTGTCGTTGTTTTCAATTTTATATTAGGTTCTAATAGCTATCTGCTGCCTTGCGAGGAAATATCAAATTCGGCTTCAAGTTTCCTCTTCAGGTTGCTAATCTCAAGAGGATCATCCACTGTCATGATTATGTCATCTACATACACAATCACAATGGCTACTTTACCTTTTATCGAATGTTTGAAAAAAAGAGTGTGATCAGCTTGGCTTTGAGAGAATCCACGTCTCTTGATAACATCACCAAAACGCTCAAACCAAGCTCTAGGACACTGCTTTAACCCGTACAAGGACTTTTTTAATTTGCATACTTTACTTTCCCAAATTTTTTTTCAATTAAGTCCATATATACTTCTTCTCGCAATCCTCCATTTAAAAACACATTTATTACATCAAATTGATGAAGTGGTCAGCTGAACTTAACTGCAAGAGAAAAAAGTACTCTAAAAGAGTTAATTTTAGCAACAGAAACAAAAATCTCTTGGTAATCAATACCATGAGTTGAGTAAATCATTTTGCTACTAGTCTCGCTTTGTATCTCTCCACTCTTCCATCAACTATAAACATCACCGTGAACACCCATTTACACCCAACCGTCTTCTTGTCTTTACATAGATTAATGACTGTCCAGGTGTTATTTCTTTTAAGAGCATTTATTTCTTCCATCACAACTAATTTCCAACTTGGTTCACTTAATGCTTCATGAACAGTTCTTGGAACATGAATGTTAGAAATCCTAAACAAAAATGCTCTATGATTTTTTGATTGTTTTTCATATGACAAGTATTGTGTGATAGACTGTTTCATGCTTGTTCGGATTCCTTTTCTGAAAGCAATTGGAAGATCAAGATCAGAAGGAGTGAAAGTAGAGGGAAGATTAATCTGAGTTGTATGGTCATTATTCGACAAAGGTGATTGAATATCTGCTGAGGGAATAACTGGGGTTGTAGTAATTTTATGGAATTTCTTCTTAGTATAAACCTGCAGCTTATGTTGAAGATTATGATCCATTGGAAGTACTTCTCCCCCTGATCTCTGATAAGGTATCATCTGACAAAATAGAATTATGTGTTGCCCCTAGTTTCCATATCAGAATTAGTTAAAGGAATGGGTAAAGTTTCCCATAAATTATTTTCCTCAACTAAGTTCTCCCCCTGAAAAAAATTATTTTGAAAAAACGGGTGATCCTCGATAAACTTGACATTCATGCTCTCAAAAAAATTTCTTTTTTCAGGATTAAAGCATTGGTACCCACGTTTGTTGGAAGCATATCCAATAAAAACACATTTTTCGGCTTGGGGATCAAGTTTTGAGCGAAACACATTTGGGATATGCACATAGCAAACACATCTAAAGGCTTTTAAAGGGAGATCAGTTGTTATTTTATATGTGGAAAATTAATTTTTTAAGACTTGTAAAGGTGGTTTAAATTTCAAAACTTGAGATAACATTTTGTTTATTAAATAATAGGAGGTGAGGAGTGCATTACCCCCCAAAAATATTTAGGAACATTCATGGAAAACATAAATGCCCTGATAACTTCGAGTAAATGTCTATTTTTTCTTTCAACAATATCATTTTGTTGTGGTGTGTCACGACAAGTAGATTGATGCAGACTACAATTTTTCAAAATAAATGTTCTTAAATATTTGTTGAAATATTCAGTCTCATTATCCGTTCTTAGAATGTCAATTTTTGTTTGAAATTGATTTTCAATCATGTGAAATTTTTTTTTAAATTGTTGTTCAACTTCAGATTTCTTTTCCAATAAACACACCCAACAAACTCATGTATGATCATCAATAAATGTTACTAAACATTTTTTTCCAGAAAGTGTGTTAACTTTGGATGGGCCCCAAACATCACTATGCACTTAATAAAATGATTTTGAAACAGAATATGGTTTTATTGGAAATGAAACATGATGACTTTTAGATAAATTGCACGCTTCACAATGAAGTTTTGAACAATCAATACTTTTAAATAGTTTAGGAAATATAAATTTGAGATATGGAAAGCTAGGATGCCCTAATCATTTATGTCAAACATAACTTGATCATAGTCAAAGCTTGAACTAGTACTACCTAATCCATGAGTTGTTTTATTCGCAGAATCAGTTCTATCATAGTAGTACAACCCATTTATTTCTCTAGCAGTTCCACAGTTTTTATTTCTCTAGCAGTTCCAATCATCTTCTCCGAGTTCTGATCCTGAAAAACACAATTGGAATGAGAGAAAAAATGGAATAATCAGAATCTTTAAACACTTTGCTAACGAAAAGAAGATTACATGTAAGTTTTGGAACATGCAAGACAGATTTCAAAAAGGTTTTTTCTGAAATTTTAATATTTCTTTTTCCTGCAATAGGTGAACAACTGCCATCAACAATTCTGATTTTTTCGGAACCGGAACATGGATAATATGAATCAAATAATTGAGAACAGTTTGTCATATGATCAGAGGCTCCTAAATCAATAATCCAAGGAGTGGTACTTTCTAAAAAGGTAAAATGATTACAACCTGTTTGTGCTATAGAACCGATAGGCGCATGAGATGATGAGCAAGATTTCAGCAATTTAAGAAGATGACTTAATTGCTTTTTACTAAGTAGAGATGACTCAATCTCATTTGCGGTAAGTGTGCTATGTTCACCAGATTTTTTTCCCTTACCATTAAGTGGTTTACCATGCAATTTCCAACATTTTTTGTGAGTATGGCGTGGCTTTCCATAGTAGTCACAGTGTAGATTGTTTTTGTCTTCTACACGCTAGTTGTGAGAAGTCTTCCTGCTTACTTAAGCTTCAGGAATAGCCAGCGCTGATTCTTCCACGGACTCGATTGAGTATGCAGATCTCCTTACCTCCGCAAAAACTTCACCAATTGGAGGCAGAGGATTTCTTCCAATTATTTGGTCATGAACCTCATCATATTCAACGTTTAGACCTGTAAGAAATCTGAAGATTCGACCAGTGTCCACTATCTTCATGTACTGGTTGTCGTCATCGTTTGATTTACATTCATGATCATTGAATAAGTCCAGGTCCTGCCAAATTCGCTTAAGAGAATTGAAATATTTTGTCTCAGAATTCTCACCTTGACAAATTTCCCCAAGTCCTAGGGTCAACTCATACACTTGGGATTGATTTCCAAGATCAGAGTACATTTCTGAAACATTGTCCCAAATTACTTGGATGTAGAGTAACACAGATAATTTGCACTTATCTCTTCAGTCATGGAATGGAATTATGTCATTATCATTGAGTTTGCTGCATCCCAAATGACATAAGTTATGTCATTCACGTCAGACTGTTTATTATCACCTGTGATATAATCAATCTTTCCTCTTCCTCAGAGATACATGCGAACAGATTGTGACTATAAAAAAAAATTATCATCATTTAGTCGGATTGTAGTGATCTGAATGAGATGATTTTCAGAGGTATTTCTCTGAGATTCAAACTGAGATGGTTGAAAAGGCTGATTTGTCCTCGAAGTGATTTCTGACATTTTAAAAATGAAGTGAATTTACTCGAGCCCAAGATTTTATGTGAGCGGTACAGATCGAGCGAATGGTCGAGCCTTCGGAGAATTACCGAGCGGGATCGAGCTCTCAGCGAAGCGGCTTTTGCGAAATGAGATCGAAAGCAAGGGAAGCAGATGGCTTTTGCAGGCGAAGCAGACCGAGCAGGATCGAGCTCTCAAGGCAAAGAGACTTTCGCGAGACGGGATCAAGCGCACGGCTTTCGCAGGCGAAGCAGACGAGTCTTCAGAGAATTACCGAGCAATCGAGGGACGTTACATATCATCGAACA